TTCCCAGGAAAGCTGTGATTGTTCTCCTATTTATACATTCAACTCACATTCAGAAAGGTTCATGCAAATATGCCAGAGTTGGGAGAAATTCCTTCCAATTTACTGGGGAAAGAGAAGATATTTACTTTTTCTCTTGAAAATTAACCCTGTTCCTAGATACCTCATGACCCTTGAAAGAAGGTGGTAGTCCTGAATCCACCTTAGTAAGAGCCCAGAGAGGCATCAATATCCAGACAATGAAATGTGCTCTTTGAATGCACTTTACCAGAGTCTGTAAAGCTGCATCTCCCTCGGGGTGCTCTGAGGACCACGAGTTCCAGTGGGCCTCAGTGGGTATAATATCCAAAGGGGCTCCGTGGGGAAATAGGTTCCATTACTGCAGGATTTCTAGAGCTTTACTAAGAGGGCACCATGAGCCTCCACGAGAGGGCTGGAATGTGCAGTGGTCCCAAGACCTTTGACTGTGGGACCTTGTCCAGAGGAGACATGTTGGGACCTGTATTTTTTTTTTTTAGGAAAAGAGATTTTTGCTATAGGGTGCATGTGCTTGCACAAGAGACAGAGACACAGAAAGCAAGAAATCACTCCTGCAAGGGGGTGGGGGTGATCACGCCACGATCCCTTCTCCTCTTTGGGATTTGGGGCATGTATTTACACACACCTGTGGAAGTTTCAAGCCTCTGACTCTGGAACTCAAACTGCGGTCAGCCGTGTGGGGATCCAGTGACATAATTGCTATGCCATCTTCTGGTCCCAGGACCTGTATTCTTGATTGGCCCTAGAGGAGCTCTGCCAGGGAAGATGGGAGTAGAGAAAACCTAGGAACACCTCCCAGGAAGACCGCTGCTCAGCCCTGTGGGCATTTCCCTTCTTACCCGTGATCTCGTAATAACTTGGGTGGGAGGAAGCAAAGGACTGTGACTCATGCTCCCAAGTGTGCCAGACACGGAGCAAGACACTGTGGGCGTCCGCTCACTTGGAGTGCCTCACAGCCCTGGGCAGTGGGTCTCCTTCACAGACCATGGAACTGGGGCGCAGAGAGGTTGGCGTCCTCTCCCGGGTCTCAAAGCCTGTGAGCGCTGAGGTGAGGGGCTAGCTAACCTGGAGCGCTCACTACGTGTGCCGGGCACTGGGCATGTGACTCTGTTCTGTTTATCCTGACTACAGTCCTGCCATGTGTACGAGGAGGCTGAGGCTCAGAGGGGTACAGCCATTGGCCCAAAGTCACCCGGGAAACAGCAAGACCAGGATTCACACCCTGCAGCCTGAATCCAGAGCTCTTGCTCTGAAATGATCCCCATCACTCTGGGGGTCACCCAGTGGATCACTGTCCACCCCCATCACCCAGCCCAGGTGTGAAGTGCCAGGAACCGCGGCCTGGTTAGAGTGGAGTAAGACTGGTGCTCACATAGAAAGACTCGCCTCTGGGGTCCAGAGAGCCCCTTCTGCCAGGGCTGCCTGGCAGGGCCGTGGCGTCCACGCATCACTCCAGCCTCCTCTCCCACTGCAGGCTGGCGGCCATTGCTCTGCTGGTCCTGGAGGAGGAGGAGAGTGCCTTCTGGTGCCTGGTGGCCATCGTGGAGACCATCATGCCAGCTGATTACTACAGCAAGACGCTGACGGCGTCCCAGGTGAGCCGGGCAGGGAGGGGGCTGGGCAGCCATGCAGGGCACTGCCCCCAGCTGTGCCTACAAGCCAGGGGAAGTGGGGAATCTCTCAGGTCTGCATTTCTCCCTCTGTACCAGTAACCCCTTTCTGGAACTGCTGGGAGGGTTCAGTGAGCCATTGGCTGTCAGAATTGTTGGGGGCCCTGCCCGTGGGGTAGACAGTCATCATTCCCGTGGTGACATTATGTCTTTAGAAACTGGATTTCCTGGGGAGGGGAGAAAGAAGTCTAGTGTCACTTGCCATCTGCCAAGTATTTCAAAGCACAGGTCAGGTGGGCTGGGAGGCTGGGGAGGCTGAGAGGATCGTTCTTACACATACCCAGCGTTTTCCAGAGAAGCCCAGCTGCCTCTGTCTCCCCTTCTTTCCTGGACTGCCCTCTGAGCACAGGCTGGCCCTCCCCTCCATGAGCCAATGCTGTGGCCTCAGCGTTCAGTCCTTGCCTGCCTTGACTGGGGGAAAGCCGCCTCCTGGGCCTGTTAGCAGGTGTGAATTCAAGAACAGCCTCCTCTCCCGTCTTTGACTTCCACCTGCCCTCCCTGTTCTTGCTGTATCAGCACCTTCTGCTTTAGGGAGAGGCCACTTATTCACTGCCCCCCGGCCCCTGTCAGTAGAGGAAGGCAGGACAATGAACCCCCACGTGTCCATCACCTGGTTTCGTTAATTATCAACACGAGGCCAGCCTAGCTGCACCTGTCCTCACCCACTCTTCGTGCTTTACTGATCTTGAAGTGAACTTCAGGTATCAGCAGTTCATCCATAAACCCAAGCTGTTATCTACCCACCCGCCCTCTCTCCCCCTCTCCTACTTCCACCACTAACACTGATTCCTCCACGTGGTATGCCCACCTGGTGGTGGGGGGTGGAGGTGGGGGTAGGGGGAGTTCAGGAGACAGTGGGTGTTTGGGTGGAGCTAAGAAGAGAAAGACAGGGAGCCCTCAGCACGTAGGTGGTGGATCAGGGAAGGCTTGCCTTTGGCTTCAGTGGAGGTCACTTTTCCCAGATAAGGGTAGGGTGGCACCTGCTTCTCAATGCCCTCGGGGTCAGGCTCTTTCCAGCTCCCTGCTCTGTCATCCCCAGCCTGTGACATTTGTCTTCATGCTCCTCCCCTGTGGTCACAAGGTGGCTGCACCATACCACCTTCAGCCCTGTGGCCATGTCCCATCTGGAGGAAGCAGTGAGAGCAGGAGGTGCCCCCGTCCCCAGCAGTTTGTGCTCACACATGAGGCGATGGAGGGCAGAGCAGTATCTCAGGGCTGCCCCTGGTTGCAAGGCAGGCTGGGAAATATGCCCTACTTTCTTTTCCCATGTTAACATCGCTGAAACTGAGGCGTGTTGTATGAACGATGCGGTGCGTTCCTTCTACGCACACACTTCTCAGATTAAACAAAAGGAACAACACAGGGCCGGCCCTGGGGCCAGTGGCTCAGGGAGTCAGATCCCACATGTCCAACCATGGTTTGAATCCAGGCCACAGTGGCTTGAAAAACACTCCAGGCACATGTGTGTGCAGGCCCCAAACCCTGACAAGGTGGAGAAATGGAGGAGAAGGGATTGTGGCATGACCACGCCCCATCACACTGTGAGATCTCCCTCATTTTCTCTCTAGCAAGGGCATGTGCCCTCTGGCAATGAAAAAAAAAAAAAAAAAGAAGAAGACAGAAAAAGGAAATTAGATCAAATGGTGTAACGAACCTCCTCGTGTCTGTCACCTAGCTTCACTAACTAGCGACACAGGGAGGCCAGCAGAGTGTCATCCACCCTCCTAGCCTCCTCGCCTTTGACTACCTTGAAGTAAATTCAGATATCACAACGGTTCACCCAGAAAGCCTTCCAGAGGTTCAGTGGCATCTTAGACTCAGTGACTCCTCTTAGATTTTCAGCTGGACACTCAAGGTTCACAGCTGGCCCCGGGCTCTGGGTCAGGAGCCCTGGTAAGGAAGGAGAGGAGCTGCTGGGAGTTTGCCCCAGCCAACGCCATAGCCGGAATATGGCTTAGAGGGGAGAGGGCTGACAACTGGGTGTTCCAGGCCAGTGAGGGCCAGAGAAAACCAACCTGGGGTCACCAGGGAGGTGGGAAGAGAACTGCGAGAGGCATTGCAAGGAGCCAGTGCTGGAAATCCTCAACTGGGCCCCGTGAAGCAGGGATGGAGGCGTGACGGTGGCCACAGGAGGGGGTCACTGACGCCATTGCCCAGCAGTGACCCACTTTGAGAAGGCTCCCTGATGGAACCTTCCGTATGGCAGCAGAATGGTCCCTCCCGCAGACATCTGCCCAGGCCCTTTGCCCAAACACCCACCAAGCATCTTATGCATCAGGCCCAAAGCGGGTGCAGAGGAGCAGCTGTGGGCGTCAGCTGAGCCTGGAGACGAAGCTCCCAGTTCCCACACCTTTGTGCATGAGGTCATTTCCCCAGACTGCCAGGGGGCTCCGCCGGGCCCTGAGCTCCTGCTGGGCTCTAGGATTAGGTGGATGAAAGGGCCGAGAACTTGCAGCCCCCAGAGACCGCCACGGCAAAGCCTGAGGCTCCAGCCCAGATGACACTGCCCAGTTTGCACCCTTGCAGTTTCTGCTCCTTAGAATGCCTCCTTGCTACCTCCACCACCACCTCCTTCGCCTGGTCAGTGTTTATTCGTTCTTCACAATTCAGGGTGACGGCAGGGTGACATGTCTCTCACCTGGGGCTGTAGCTCCCCAGGTGCCCCGTGCCTCCTAGGCAGGGCAGGACACCCTCAGAATGGCTCCAGGACTGTGTGTGGCTGGGCAGGGAGGGAGGCAGCCCCTCTGCCAGGCTGCAGGTGACAGGCCCTCTGGCCGGCTTCCAGGTGGATCAGCGGGTGCTCCAGGACCTCCTCTCGGAGAAGCTGCCCAGGCTGACGGCCCACCTGGGGCAGCACCGTGTGGACCTCTCCCTCATCACCTTCAACTGGTTCCTCGTGCTCTTTGCAGACAGCCTCATCAGCGACATCCTCCTCCGGGTCTGGGATGCGTTCCTGTACGAGGGGACCAAGGTAGGGTCCGCCAGAGTAGGGGACCCTCAGCAAGTCCTGATCCTGCCCCCTGGAGACTGGGGGGACAGTGCTCCCCTTTGGGGCTGTGGAGGACGTCCGAGAGCACGGCTTTCTCTGCCGTAAAGTGCTTTGCACACACAAGGCACACTGCTGGTGCTGCCTCTGAAGGTGCAAAAGCCGAGGTGAGGAGCCACGTCCCTGTTCTGTCCATCCCTCTCCCACAAGTCCTTGGGGCCTTCTCTCCTCCTATTCGGACTAAGCCCTGGATTGGGAGGCTGGAGCTTGGGTCTGGACCCCGCAACACCTCAGCGCCCGTTTCCCTCATGGCTTACAGAGCGCCCTCAGATTTGTGCTTGCATTTGACCTCTGTCAAAGCCCCCTATAAAGATACGGTACTAACCCCATCAGGTTCAGTGGCCAACGCCTCGCCCAGGGCCCTGGGACAAGCAGTGAGTCCCAAACTCAGGCCAAGTCCCCAGATTCCAAGCTGTGCACCTCCCTTGACATACTCCATCTCTCCCCAGCCCCTGTGGCCTCCCCCCACACATTGTGCCTCCAGGCCTCAGCCTCTGAACCCGTCCCAGGACTCCCTGCTGCTGGGTCTGGGGGTTTTCCTCCCTCTGAGGCTGCCCTGCCTGGCCCCACAGCCCACACCGAACTTCCCTGCCCCCAGGTGGTGTTCCGCTACGCCTTGGCCATTTTCAAGTACAATGAGGAGGAGATCCTGAGACTGCAGGATGGCCTGGAGATCTACCAGTACCTGCGCTTCTTCACCAAGACCATCTGCAACAGCCGGTGAGTGCCCTCCACCCTCCACCACTCCCCACAGCGTGGCCCAGGACACATGGCACAGGCTAGGCGGGGTCACCTAGGCTAGGCGGGCATTCCTCTCCTTGTAGCTGACAAGCCTTAGGGACGTTCTACCATCTTGGTGATCTGTCTGTCCCCCTAACATGGCATTCGACCTCTGTGCATTTCATTTCTCACCACTCTGCCCCTGCCCTGAATAGCCATGGCCTCTCATCTCAGACCACAGAATTACTTGAGTTCTTAGAACAAGTCCACTCTGGGGCTTTTGCCCTTGCAGTTTCTGCTTAGAATGCCTCCTTGCTACCTTCAACAGTACCACCACCTTTGCCTGGTCGGTTTTTATTTATTCTTCACAATTCAGCTCACATGGCACTTCCTCCAGGAAGCTTTCCCTGACCTACCTCTCCCTACTGGGTTAGGTGCCCTTTTTCTGAGCTACCATAGCCTGCATACATGTCACTCAGTGCATGTCACCCTGGGTGGAAATGGTCTTAGTCATTGTTTCCTCCTTGGAAGGTGGGCTCCCTAGAGCGAGGGACCGTGGGCTCAGCCCCCAGCTGGGGGTACATGGGATGTCCGGGAAGACCTGGTAAATGCAGGCCCCGAAGTAGGGCTGACCCTCGTGTGCTGGGCTGACCATGCCCTCCTCCTAGGAAGCTCATGGACATCGCCTTCACCGACATGAACCCCTTCCGCATGAGGCAGCTGCAGCAGCTGCGGGCGGCCCACCGGGAGCGGCTGGAGGCCGAGCTGCGGGAGCTGGAGCGGCTGAAAGCCGAATATTTGGAGACCCGGACATCACGGGGCAGGGCAGTGCCCAAGGGCTGTGCCAGCGAGGACGAGGACGAGGCAGATGCAGACGGGGAGGCCTGACTTGGCCGCTCGCTCCCCTCCCCAGGGTCCTTCTGAACCTTGGCTTGCTCCGGCCAGCCGGTGTGGTCCAGCCCTGGAGCCCCATCACCGTGCGACCCTGGACGAGCCCCTTCCCCTCTCTGGGCCTCTGCCTTCCCAGCAGGACATTGTCTGTGCAGCCATTGGCTGAGTTACCTCTCCCGACACTTACCCAGGGGTGCCACCAGGCCTCCCCTCACCCCCACCAGCACTTTAGCACGCACACAGTGAGAGTGCGGTCTTTGTCGGGCAACCTTGAACTTCCTAAGTTATGTCTGATGTAAATATTGGAAATAGCGCACCAGCTCTGGAACTTACTGGTCTCAGTTCTGGCTGGGCGCAGACACCAGGATGTGCACCACAAGTGCCTTCCAGCCTGGGGCATCTCTGGCTGCTGTCTCTATGGGTGTCTCTGTAGGGCCTGCCTCCACCTGGCTGCTGGGGTGCTCAGGGTTTCTGTCTTTCTCGGAAGCAGCTCCTCTCCCGTACTGATGGGGGTCTGCTTCCACCTCCCACCCCACCCACGAGGCCTGTTTCCAGAGCCTGCTGTCTGCGCCCTCCTCTCCACCCACCGCCCAGTTAGGGGGGTTCCCAGAGAAAACCCAAGCCCACCACCAGGAGGAATGTGGTAGGCAGAGAGCCCCACTGCCCCCCCCACCTGCTTCACAGGTGGGGACAAGGGAAGCAGAACAGAAGGACATCTGTCCCCAGAAGTGGGGGGTTGGGAGGGGAAGTAGAGGTGGAGGTTGATGCCACCCTAGGCAGGGCTGACTTGTCAGTGTTCACCTGGTGCAGGAACTCCGGGCTGTGTGGCCCCTATCCAGCACCAGTCCTGGGCTCTTCCAGGCCCTTCTCCAGACAGACGCTTTCCCTGTCCCTCCCGAGGCCCAGGTCATGGCTGCACAAGTGATTCTGGCAGCTCATCCCACAGCAAAACCTAACTACTGGTATAAACTTGAGCTCAATCCTCTGGTAGGAAGGACTCGGGGTGGGGGTCCCCATACGGTAACACCCCCCACTCCAGAAAACCAACCAGTATTAGGGGAGCTGCCCTCGAACCTCCTAGCTCTGACCAGAGGCTCCTGTCCATGGCTGGGGAGGAAGCCATGCCCCTCACCAGGGACAAGGACAGGCTCTTTGGCAGCCCTGGCTGATCCCTAGTCCCTGCTGTCACCCACAGATGTGAACTTGAGGGCTCAAGCTCCATGCACACTGTTCCCCACACCATGTGGCCTCTGCAGCCCTGGGGAAGGGTGCTCAGAATTCTTTTGCTCCCACAGTCGTGTGGACCCCAGGGGTCCTGGGAACACCCCTCACCCCCCCTTGACCACCTTTGCATGTCTGCTGAGCTCTGTGCATCTGCTGAGGCCCTGTCACCACTGGACAGTATCCGTGACATCAGGTGTGAGATGAGGCAGCCTGGGGGTCCTAGCTGCACTCCGATAGGCTGGGTGCTACAACTCTGCGGCCGGCCATGGGGTGAGGAAGGCTCAACCCCAGGAGGGTTGTAGGAGCCACCACTGGTGCTGAACCCCATGCAGCCAAAGGAGTGAGTGTCCTTCTCCAAAGGCCCAAGGCTCCAGGAAGTCCGGGCCCAGCTAGCCCCTCTGGCTCTGGTCCTGGAATTCATTTTCTCTTTTCAGCAAAAATCAAACAAAACACCCCAGGGAAAGGAGAAACTGCTCAGAGGGGGCTGCCTGTGCTTCCTGGGGTGGGAGGGCAGTCGTGCTTTGCATTTGACCCAGCACCCAGTAACCTCTGTGACTACCTGACTGGGCCTTAGAATCCCTGAGTCGCTTTTTTTTTTTTTTTTTTGAGGGGGGTTTTTCGCACTAGGGCTCG